GTGAATTGGTGGGTTTTTGTTAAATGTGAGCCAAAATCATCACAATTAAAATAACCAAAGACTTAAACTACTTCAGTCTGTGTGCATTGAATTTATTTAATACACGAGTTTCACAATTTGAGTTGAATTACTGAAATAAATGAACTTTTCCACGACATTCTAATTTATTGAGATACACCTGTATGTCCAGGTCATACGGTATTTTGACCCAAAATCAAAAGAAAAAAAAAGATATTTTGCAAGTCAACAAAGCCTATTATATTACACTAGCCTTTAAATTCATAGGACTGGGTGATTAAAAATAATGATGCTAATACTAGTATTAAAGATAATAAAAGCAGGAATTAACACTAAATACAATCATTATAAACAACTTAAATTAGCTTTAAGAGATTAAAGCTTTGAGCTCTTCTCTGATGTGGCTGTGTTTGCTTTCAGTCAGTCAGTCAGTCAGGTGATGATATAACAGTTCTTCTGCTTCCGTGGTTTTCAGGGGTGAAAACAATTGTCATGGGAGTCTTTTTGTCTTTAATCCATTGCTGTTGAACATTGTTTAAAGTTTTACTGCTTTTGTGTACAATCATTATGTCTATTTATTTCATTTGAAACACAAGTGGTGATGTTTTTTAGGAATTGGACTTGCTTCTTCAAGCCATAAAGTTTAATGTTTTATGCTTTATTTCTGCTTGTATGTGAACATTTCAGATGACTGATGTGAAATGAAATGGCACAATGTCAAAATCACAGAATTGTCAGTGGTTTAGAATGCTCCATGTTCATCCACCTGATGGCGATCTTCACTTAACTTTGGCTGCTCAAGCATATGTGCTGAGTTTAGAGCAGGGGTGCCCAAACTCGGTCCTGGAGGGCCGGTGTCCTGCTGTATAAGAGAGGCTTTTTTAATGCTTCCCTGCATGCCTGTGTATGTGCTAATGGAGACCCAGGCAACATGGAAAAGACTGAAGCATCTAGACTGTTGTGCGCATGGATTTTGAAACGTTTGTATACAGTAGGTCCGCGTATGATCTAGTGCAGTGGTCACCAACCTTTTTAAGCCCAAGATCCCCGACCTTGGCCTTTATGAACGATGAGATCTACCTATTGAAGAATCGATAGGAAAAGACATCCCAGATTGTACTTGTACTTTTGAGGCCTTTTATTTAGTATTTTAAGTGGGGATGCACCAATAATGGCTGATTCAGAATCACTTTTTTTGGGGGGGGAAATTGAATGACTCTGATGCTGGTAGGTTGTTTTTTTAAGCAAATGCATTTATTGGCTATTTGCTTTATAACAAGCAAACTGGTCTTAAACAAAAAATATCTGTAGGCATTTGAAATGAGGCATGAGCTGTTATTTTTTATTTGAATTAGATTGTATAATTTCAGGATTTAAAGCAAAATGGTCTGACTTTAGCCTTTTTTTTGGCTACATAAAACATCTGCATGAAACAAAAACAGCAGGTCTGAATGAGACGCAAATTCACTCTCTGACAGCAGGGGGCGCTTATGAACCAGCCGCGATATAGCGTTTCCTTGCTTACCGCTGGAAACAAAGCAGAGCAGCGCCTTATACGAAGAGAAGAAAATGCCATTATTGCCATCGAAACGGTTCTCAAGATAGTTCCTTTCAGTGATTTATTAATATAACCCCATACCCCCAATTCAATATTTTCTTCATATATTTCGACCATCGTGAACACAGTGAGCTGTTGTTCTCTGCCTGCTACAGTATTTTCTCGTCTTCAGCGTCTCTGGCCTCTGTTCACTGTCCTAATAGCTTCCGAAAATAACAGAAAAATAAGTACAAAAAATACAGTACAAAGAATGGAGAAATGTAATGCATTTTTGTACTTATTTTACTGTTATTTTCGGGATCTACTGGGACAGTGATATCGCGATCGACGGGTTGGCGACAACTGCTCTATAGGGACAAATGTTTTATTTCATCAACACTGCCATCTGCTGGTCAGTAAAGAAATTAAATACGAGAAAAGCCTGACCTCTAATGGCGGATTTAGAGAACGCATATCACATATATATATATTTTAGACTTGTATATGACGATGCATCGATTATAAAATCTGTTAATTTCATTAAAAAAAACGCTATTGGCTTTTTTAAAAAAGGGGGCGGGGCTTCTCGATATGTCCCGCCCTGTCTTCCTGTTTCAGTTGAAATTAGGTCACCACATAGAATAATGCTGCGTGTTTCAAGGCACTTCAGGGGACCTTTAATGCTAAATGAAGCCAAAATGGCTTGAAACATTTGGAAGGAGTCTCCAGTGTCAACACTTTGTCGCTGTCAAAGCAGTATCTTTTAAGTTTTCTTAGAAGATCTCCAGGACATCAGTGTGTGGTTCTTTATAACACGAAAAGCTGTTTTATTATTATTAATAATAATAATAACCATCATCATCATAAATGATTGCATAAGTATTCACATCTGCTGTTTAAAGTGTAACCTCACCTGCTCCTGGAAGAACCCAGATTTTGTTAGAGACCATACCTGAACCACAAGCATCCTGAAAAATGAAGAGCAAATTGTAGAATTTCAAGAGGAGGTGAATACTTGCAATACACACTCCTTCAACAAACGCTCATCTTTTTCTATGCACAGTGTGTGTTCGTGGTCCTCTAATAGCCACAGCATCGTGGTCGAATAATATAACACATAATATATTTAATTCATAGCAACATATAAATGATCATATAAAGCTGTAAGGGTAAGATTCAGATAATTATGCAAAATGCATAAGCGAAGCAGATCTCATGCATGGTTACTTCTTGTGTGTGTGTGTGTGTGTGCGTGTGTGTGTGTGTGTGTGAGGGGGTTGATCTGTGCAGGTGTGCAGAGTACTTGGGTTTCTCCCCTTTAGCTATATTAAGAAACGGCACAGAGATTCAGAAAGGATGAGGAACTGAAACACACTCCCACCACCTGCTTCTCTTGTTTTGCTCTCTCTCTCTCTCTCTGTGTTACTTTTTTTTTTTTTTTACATAAAAGACCTATGTATCTGAATGCTCTCAGATCTTCTCTGATCATACAAGAGGTAAAGCCATGATGATCCTGAACGCTTTGTCGGTCACTGCACTCCTGCTCTCCCTGACCGGTAAGACTATCACTATCAAACAACGCTATTATTAACCTACAAATTATAAAATGACTGAAGGAGTAAACCACTTGTGGGCATTCGGCCATAGCAGAGTAATCAACGACGCAATGATGAGATGAAGCAGAGCTCCTGTTATGTTTTGTTTTTTTTGTATACAAGTCCAAATTAGTGCACTTATTTAACGTTCATGTCCTTCTCGTGTCTTTCAGGTTTAACGGCGTATAATTTGAGTCAGGAGAAGTCCAAGTCGGTGAAACTGGGTGACAAGGTGTCGATACTCTGCACTGCAGAAGATGATAAGTATTACATTTCATGGTACCAACAAAAAGCCGGTGCTCCTCCTCAGTTTCTGTTTTTTAACAACACAAGAGCGAGCGATTTACCCGACAGGTTCACTTTCGCTGACTCGGGCAATCAGGATTATCTGACCATCGATGGAGTGAGAGCTGAAGATGAAGCAGTTTATTACTGTGCTTGTATTGGCTGTGCAGGAGCCACAGTGCTCCAGTCCAACAGAGCCGTCGTACAAAAACCTCCTGCATGACATCCTCTGAAGCGTGTGCTCAGAAATCTCCATGCTGCACATTATTTGTTAATGCACAACGTACTAAGTTTTGTTGAACATTGTCACCAAGATGAAAATCATGTGTTGATTCATGTGATTCATTCATTTTCACACGTTTCATTTCTCACACTGAATTTTACACATGATTCATCACTTCACACTGATCAGAGATAATGAATACAGGCTTTATAGAGAGTGTTAGCAAGCCTTCGAAATATGCTCGGCACTAAATACGCTCAACTTTCTGCTCTTTTGTCCATGTTCAGGAGCGGTGAAGTGCTCAGATTACAGCGCTGAGGTTTTTGTACTCAGCTCTAACACCGTGAGCCTATGTGTTTGCTCAAGGCACCAACCTTGGTAAGCAAAAATTTGTTTTATTGATTTAATCCTTATTTCAATGTTTAGGTCAACTTTAGGTCAACATGGATGAATAAGTACATGATTGATAGAAGTTCATCTTTTTTTTTTTTTTGGATAAAAAAAAAATCATCTTACAGCTGGCAAAAATTTACAAAATTTTAATTATTTTTAATAATAATAATATATTCATTTTTAGTAAAAAATGTCATAAGTCAAAAACCTACACTCCAATTTTTACAGTCCCATGTTTTACTTTTTTTTTAAATGGCATTTTAAACACTATTGATAATATGCATTTTAATATATGTAATTATTTATTATTATTAAATATAAAAATGAATGAATGAATATATTAAATAAAAAAATGAAGTATGTGCCCTTTTGCATAGACGTGGACATCAGGTTGATGCCCAAAATCTTTTGAATGGAGTTAAATATAAAAAAAATAACATGACAAAAAAAAAAAAAAAAACGAATCGAATAAAAAATAACATGACAAAAAAAAAAAAAAAAGCGAATCGAATGAGAAACAATAATGATAAAACATTTAAAATGACATTTTGTAAAATAACGAGCAAGTAAATAATGAAGCACTGCAATACATTGTAAGTAATAATTAGGCATACTAATTAATAGAGAAGTTAATCAGCATTATTAAGTCTTGAAACCTCTCCAAATCCACTGAATCTACTTTTTAATCCAACTTTGATCCTAATTGATTTTATCCTTAACAGACACAAGCCTTAGCAGACTATTTAATACTGAGTAAACTTACAAGTGAGTGAAGAACAGCAACAATGTTCCTTGATGATGGTGCCACGTTAAATCAAAGTTTTGTCCCTGTAGTGATATCTGATCGTCCGTCGTCTCCTCCGTCTCTGCTCCTGCTGGCTCCTCCTGCTTCTCCGCTCTCTGAGGGTGATGTCAGTGTGGTGTGTGTGGCTCAGGGCTTTTACCCTGACGGTGTCACCATGTCCTGGTCTGAGGACAGCAGCGGCGTGACGGGGGACGAGGTGCAGACGGCTCCATATCAGCGTCAGGCCGACGGCACCTTCTCCCAGACCAGCGTTCTGAAGCTCGGTAAGCAGCGCTGGAGCTCCGGGAGAACCTACACGTGCCGTCTGAGTCACCCGGCGCTTTCCACACCGCTGAGCCAGAGCACCAGCCTGAACCAGTGCATGTAGAGAGATTCTCTAACCATCAACAAACATGCATTAAAGAATTCCACTTGTTCTTTACTTGCTTGCTTTAGAAAGTATACGATAATAAAGTTATATTGTTCATTGTAATTGTTAACCTGTGTCCTCATGGTGTTCATAATGACATCTGCTAGAGGATTGCTACCATTTTATTTCCCAAAGCACAGCAATCCCAGGCTTAGAGCAAACTTCTCAATGCATACGCTTCAAAAACAAGTAAAACATATTGCACTATAAAATGTCTTCATAAGAATAATGCAAACATGACAGGCTCTGAACTCTCGATTCTGATTGGTCAGAAGGTGTTGCTTCATTTTCTATAACAGCAGCTCTGACACTAGTTCCAGCAGGAAAGTCTTCAGAACAGAGGGGTTTAGAGTTTGTAGTTTCTCAGTAAGGAAAAAAACAGGCTGCATGTTGAAGGACTGAGTGTTATCGCTGCTATAACGTAAGTAATAACAGGAACTCCTTTCATGGGCGTTTTTATGACTATAAACTATAGATGAATACAAAAGTATGATGTATAGTTGTTTGCTGCAGTACAGGAAGGACGTGCTGTTCTAGGAAAATAATCAACTTCAGGGTTAATATGAACTCCTCACACCACCCCATATCTGTATTCCTATAAACTTACTGCTTGAGTGTCTACAGTGCTGATATAAACAGAAAATAGATAAATTAAATAGACTAACATTTATGAAACCATCATGTTGTCATGACAATGTATGCCTGGTGTTGTAATTACTGTTTTATATATATATATATATATATATCGTATAGGCTATATAACATGTTAGAAAGGCATTACACATGAAATACAGTGTTCTGGCATGAAACTCTAGATGGCGCAGTCCGATAGGTCTAACTCAATCTGACCTGGCGACATCATTGTCACATGGCAGCTGATTGGTTCTCTCCTGTATCGGTAGCCAATGAGCTCGCTCCTCAATATTCAAATACCTGGCTTTAGTTTGCTGTATCATTTGGCAGCGCACTTCAGAAACCCTCCACCTTCCCCAGCTCCACCTGTATAGATCTGCTACAGGGTGATTCATGTATGGGGGTTATTCATATGTGTTATATGTGCAGCAGCAGTATTTCTTACATGCTCACAGCAGCATGTTGTGGATGTATTGGCAGAAGCAAGTCTCGGTACTTGCTCTGCCGCAGCAGCAGCGTAGCAGATCTATTCCGCCAAGACCAAATACATTAACATTGTCATGTACATTACCATGCCAATCCCTCCGAGAGTTGTCATGACAGAAATATAATTATGCCACAGATTAAGTACAGCGTTTGATCTAAGATAAATAATCAGCCTGACTTTTTACTGTGAAATGAAATCATTTTCATCATCAGATTTGTGTCTTGTTAATAAAATGTTCCTATTTATCCAAAGAATTCTGGAGCTTGTCGATGACTCCAGCATTCACATCACACTGTTTAATAAATCAGAAAAATCGAACAATTCAAATTCTTTTTGGAACTGATGAATAAATCATTTCCGAATTATTTCGATCAAAAACAGAGCATTTATTACAGATATTTAATCTGATACTGTATCCCACAATCTAGTTACAGCATTAGCACATTTCAGTATACAAAATGCTAACTGTTAGCCACTCACTTTCAGCCAGTGTTAGCTAAGTATTGAGATAGCTTAGTATCTGAATTGTTAACAGACTTGATATTGCTAGGTATGAAAGGCACGTAATCAAGCTACAAGTTGACTATTTGCTCTAATTTCTTGTCTTATGACTGAATGAATGAACAGAACGAGTCATTTTTGGGCTCTCAAACACGACTCATTTCCCACCATCAGGTCAGATTATGTGTGTGAGTTTGTTGAAAAGCTGTGGATATAAAATGCGATTTAATGTTCAGTGAAGCGAAGCGCACTAGTGGAAAAAGTCAACCGTGCTCAAACGAAAAAAGCCAGAACAGAAAGTATAAGCAAATTCATGGCCTCCAGATGAAACTCTATTAATAGAGTTCTGCTTTCACCAATGAAGGTCTAACGGACAGCAGTGTGCACCTCTGAAACAAAGCTAATAGACAAAATTCCTGTAATGTTGGTTGGTTCTCATACAGAT